CCTACAACTTCCTTAGATGAATTTGATTTTAGTGAAACAGAGAAGGAACGATTCCTTACCTACAGTTCTGTAATGCTAAACATTTATATAAAGATTCCTTTTCTAGCATCTGTGAGAAGCATTTGGGCATAGATTGCATCTATTATTTCAGCTGGAGGATTATTTATGCTTTCCTTAAACATGAAAGAACTTCACTATAACAGAGGACCAGAGCTAGAGATATTTAGAGGCATTAAATTAGTTGAAGGTACAGGCAATTCAACTGGAAAAATAATTCTCCTTGCTTCATTTTTTGTGTTACTATCAGTCAGGCTGTTAGGCTGCCTACAATTTGCATATTAAGATATTAATAAGGTAGTGACCAAAAGTCCTTAGTTCACACCAATTCATATCCACTAGCAGTGTCACTGTCCAGTTGCCCCGCCTTTACGTTAAAAGCAGTAACTAACTTCACACCAATAACAAATTATGCTCTTGTAGATAATGTACACATTCAGTCTATATACTGGATTACAGGGATACTGTTTCTTTAGGTAAATACTTTCCAATTCTTTTCAGTATAGGTCAGTAAATATCAAAAATGGCTTTTCTACATTGATTCTAATACTGATGTGTGAACTACTTGTACCTGGACAATTCTGGGGCATCATGAGGTGTTGGCTGCAGGTGCAATGTAAGAACGTAGAAATAGTATATTTGTGAACAATGCCTAGAAGAGTGTCTATGTGGCTTTTAAAAAAAAACACAACAAAAACCAACACCACAAGGAAGACATTTTCCTCAGTTTTTTCCTCCTTCAGGCATGAAGACAAATCACAACACCTGTGTGGGTGTCAGAAGTCTGGTCAGTGGCTAGTAGAATTAGGAAAAATTATATGGGAATACAAAACTCAGCTAGCTTCAGCCTGGCTCAGTCGTGACACTCAAGCCTCCTGTCAGGACTGTCTGCTCTCTTGATTACATCACTGTACTACACAATCTACTTAATTGCTTACGGAGCAGAGAGACACACTCTGAGGCAGCTGTCAGTGTTGGTGCCCAAACTTAAAAGCAGCACAGAAGCCTGGCTAATGGAGTGTAGGAATCTCTCTCTGACATTCTAGTTCTCCTCCTGAAACAGGTAAGGTCTCAGACACTAGCAAACTGACAAGCACTGGCACCTGGCCCACATTGAGGCCATAAAAGGCTTTCCCCACAAAAGTTCCATCACATCCAAGCTTATTTTTGGAAGTAAATGAGATAACTTTTCTCTCAGTCAGGAAACAGTACCAGAGAGCCACAGGTTGAATGTACTTGGAACTGTTTGAAAGCCGCCTGTGTACACTTAACCACACCTTCTGCTGATATGTTTGAGCGACACCAGAAAGCAGAGCAAGGTTTTAGCTGTGGGTAAGCTAACCTACAACAAAAGGTATTTTGGGGTAATCTGAAGAGCTGAACTCACCTCTAGGTCTTTTCCTTGTTCAACTTCCTAATATGCATGAATCCAGGATTTGAAGCCATTTCCTGCAGCAAGTCCATCACTGCAATCGCTGACATTGCTAAAAGAGACGTCTCTGTGCTTCAGAAGCTGCAGCAGGATCATTCTGAAAACAAGGTTCAGGGGAATTAAATAATCTTTTTAGGTGAGATAGATACATTTCTTAAAGTCAGGCACACTTGAAAAGAATTTAAAAAGCACATAATGCTGAGCTATAAACTGCTGAACTTTACACTGCTCTTTTTCATACTTTACTCAAACAGTAGATAAAATAGGACTGCAAACATCTAGGGAGTGAGGCAGCAAACAAACCATTTCTGTCCAAGTAGAAAGGAGAGACTTTCTTCAATAAATGGAGCCTATACCCTACCTAGGTTTGTTGGAGGGAGTTGAGGCACTTCACATGCATCTAGGACATGACAAGTATGCTTCTGACGAGAGATCCCTCAGCTCACAGTTTGCCATGTGATTTTTCCATCCTAAGCAACTGCCAGCAGCTGTCAGCAGAGGCCGAGTTGGCAACCTTAAGTCATGCAGCATGGGAGCTCAGTTATACTGAAGATGGCACACAGGTGAGTTTTCCTGTCCACAGGAAGCAGTATCAGAAGGTGAGCTCCTGGACAGGACAAGATCACCATGGTCCTGTTCTGTACAGCCTCTCGCATTTCTCTAGAAAGTACTTCAGACTCACAGGTCTCTGCATTTTACTTTTTTTCCTTACTCATGAGGGACATGACTGGTAGATTCAGTCATGCACCAGACTTACAAAGAGACAACCAAATATAATTACTTTGTGAGGTACTCACAGGATGAAGAGTGGTTTGATGTGCAAAGGTTTTGAAATGCAATACAAAACGAAGAGATGGTGATGGAGTTCTTTTGGTCCTCCTCATCCCTCCTGCCCAGGGAAAAATGCAACAAAGAGGAATAGGAAACCACCAAGACACAGCAGGTAAAAAGTCAAAGGACCTGCAAGAGAAAATAAAGGAATTCTCCCTTATGTCTTCATTCTTACCACCCTCACTGCTGGAAGAGCTACAATTGACAAGAACACCAGGTGGACACCAGGCCTGTTGCATACAGCAGTGTGGAGCACATTACCAGTACCTCTGCCTAAACTCAGGCAGACTACGAGCCTCACATTTGCAGGCCCTGGTCCTCACAGGGGACTTAAGCCACCCTGATATGTCCTGCAGGGACAACACAGAGAAGACAAGGCTCTGGGGGGGATGTCAGCAATGTACATAAATACCTGAAGGGAGGATGCAAAGAGGAAGAAGACAGGCTCCTCTCAGTGGTGCCCAGTGACAGGACTGGGCAATGGGCACAAACTGAAACACAGGAGGTTCCCTTTGAACATCAGGAAACACTTTCTCACTGTCAGGGTGACCAAGCACTGGCATGGGTTGCCCAGGGAGGTTGTAAAGTGTCCATGCTTGGAGATACTCAAAATGCTTCTGAACATGGTCCTGGACAACCAGCTCTAGGTGGTCCTGCTTGAACTGGGGTGGATGGGACCAGATGACTTCCAGAGGCCCATTCCAACCTCTACCATTCTGTAAAAAAACAACCAACCAAACCAAAACCAACCCCCCCCT